TACCTCGGGCTTCTCCATTCATGGCTCGACGGCTTGGATCTTTCCGACACGGCCTGCTTTGTTGGATTTCGAGGTTGAGGGTTGTGCCTTGGCGGCCCCTGGTTGATTGTTTATGGCTAACTTTTTGCCCTTCTGACTTTCCTCGAACCGGCGCTGGTTCTTTAGGCATTGCTCAATTTGTTTTTCATTCTGCTTTCGAAATGGTCAGTAGGTAGGGGATAGGTATAGGGATCCACAGATCCACAGATCCACAGATCCAAAACTTTCATGGGATCCAAATAGTCGAGTTGACCGTCCTTGTACTCGGGGCCCAACGCCATGGGGTCTTTGAACTCGAGTCTCCAAGGTCCAAGGTCACTTTCCTCGATAATCCGTTGGATATGGCGTAGTACTCCAATGGTCTCGGACTCGAGCATAGCCTTCGCCATGTGCTCGTTGGGCCTGATTTCGGCGGCCATCAGGGCCACCATTGCACTCGTCCTCGTATCAATAACATCTTCTACCCTTCCTTGTCTTGCAGCGGTAGGTGCTGCCAGCGGGATTTAGGAAGGTCCAGCGGACCCTACTTGAGCCGGGGGTTTTAGACAGTCTTTTGCGAGGTAACATCGCATGGGCTGAGCGGTCCCGACTAAAGGTGGCCGTGGCATAACTGTCCCATCCGCCATGGCCACTTGTTGCCTCTTAGCCGCTACAGCCCTTTGCCTCTGCAGTCCTTGGATGATGAAGACCCAACGCTTCTTCGATCAGACGGTCACCGACCTCCTTTTCTTCCTCACCCTCGAGCCGGTCGATCGTCCCCCGGCAGCTCGTCGCCACCGCTCCTCTGCACATTTCGATATAGAGACGGGGTACAATTTCATTTTCGGTACTCCGTTGTCTCGTCGGTTCTGCAGCACTGAGGCCGATTGGGCGACCAACACTTTCGTTCTCAAAACGAAGTGTGGACAAACGTATCGCGTACCTTTCATAGGTACCACTGCGACACCACGCCCCGCCTCGTCCCCCGGAGCCTTCGGTGGCCACACCATCCCCTACGATCACTGTCACCTTGCCTCGGCAGTTCGCCCACTTCATCCGACAAGACGACGTCACCTTCTTTATGGTGAACGTTACGGATCTCTTACACTATGATCCACCCTGTCCCGACGCCGAGCTCATCCCTCTAGAGCTAGATCCTCCTTTTATCTCCATGGCTCCCATCTCTACTTCCCACCCTCCGCCGTCCGAGTAAACCCCGTCGTCGCGCGCCGACGCTGACGCTTAGGAACTCGCACGCTGTACGACCGACCTGGAGCCTGCAGTTCGTGACCTCATTCGAGAGTACCACGACATTTTCTCATCGTCGTTCTCGTACGCCGGCATCCCACCGATGCGCGACGTCGAACGCTCTATCCAGCTTGTGCCTGACTATCGTGTTCACCACCAGACACCCTACAGACTCTCGATCCCCGAGGCCACCGAACTCAAGCGTCAACTTGAGGAGCTTTTGAGACTGGGTTTTATTAAACCCAGCAACTCCCAGTGGGGTGCACCCGTCCTCTTTGCTCGCAAAACGGATGAAACTCTCCGTCTCTGCATCGACTATCGCAGCCTCAACCGCTACACGGTTAAGAACAGCTACCCCATGCTTCGTTCTGACGAGTTGCTCGACCGCCTAGCAGACAACCGCTTCTTTACGAAGATTGATCTTCGTAGCGGTTACCATCAGATCCGCGTCGTTGCAGCGGACCAACTGAAGACAACGTTCCAATCGCGTTTCGATCACTACGAGTTAACGGTGATGCCATTCGGCCTCACCAATGCACCCGCTACCTTCCAGAGGGCGATGAACAACATCTTCAGGGACATCATGGAGCAGTACGTTCTCGTCTACCTCGACGATACTCTGGTCTACAGTCGTACCCTTGAGAAGCATCTCAAACACCTCCGCGACGTCCTTGACCGCTTGCGCAGACATGACTTCTACGCCAAGCTAAGCAAGTGCCGCTTTGCCCAGCACAAAGTGAATTTCTTAGGACACTACGTGTCTGACCAGGGTATCCACATGGATGACGCGAAGATCACTGCTATTGCGGAGTGGCCGGTCCCCACATCTGCCAAGCAGCTTCGCAGCTTCCTAGGCCTCACTAGCTACTATAATAATTTCATCCAAGAATACGCTAGGTATTCCTACGTCCTTACCTGCACCCTCCTCCGGAAGAACCCGCCATGGGCTTGGACACCCCTCCACGAGGACGCCTTCCGCGCCCTCAAGAAGACGGTGACATGTGCACCGGTTCTTCACCTACCCGATTTTGATTGCCCTTTTATCCTTACCACCGATGCGTCCTACTTTACTATAGGAGAAGTGCTTTCTCAAATTTTCCCCTCCTCTCCTGATTCCTCTCATTCTCGTATCCCTCGCTTCCCACCCCCTACCCCTACCACTGCCTCTCGCCTGACGCGTACTCGTCCAACTACTAACGAACCTTCTATTGACTATTCTCCTACCATCGCCGAGGACGACACTGTCGAGTCTCGCTCAGGCGATTGTCCGATAGCCTTCTACTCCCGTCAGCTCCCGCCCGCCGAGATAAACTACACCGCTGATGAACGTGAGGTTCTCGCAGTAGCTTATGCCGCTCGACACCGGCGTCACTACCTGCACGGGGCACCATTCACGGTGCGTACAGACAACTCTGTTGTCCAGACTTTTTTGACAAAACTGAAGCTCAATCCTCGACAGGCTCGTTGGTGGCGCGTCCTATCCGAGTTTAGGGGTCGCAAATGGCGTCCTCACCATGATGAAGAGCAGATCCATCTCGCTGCCATCTCGGTCACCACCGTCCACCACTCGGTGATCGACGAGTTTCGCACTCAGTACCGCCACTGCCCCGACTATCGCGACATCCATGCGACCCTTTGGAGTGGCAAGACCGTCCCGAACTACTCTCTCGGGGACAACGGTCTTATGTATTGACACGGTTCACAGGGCACTAGAGAGCCCCGCATTTGCGTTCCCTCCTTTGGACAACTACGTGTCCGGGCAGTACTTGAGTTCCATGACCAGGCAGCCGCCGGTCATATGGGCTTCCACAAGACGTTGGCTCGTGTGAGCCGCCTGTACGTCTGACCAAAGCGCAAGGACTTTATGAAGGACTACGTCGCAGAGTGTCCCACCTGTCAGGAGGTGAGCAGTGCGAACCACTTGCCTTATGGTTTGCTCCAACCTCTTCCTATCCCTGATGGTCGTTGGCAGTCCATCTCGATGAACTTTATCGGTCCTCTTCGTCCTTTGACCCCCCGCGGTCATGATGCTATCCTAGTCGTCGTCGACCGCTTCACGAAGCGTGCACGCTTTGTTCCGTGCCGCTATGCCATCAGTGCACGTGAGGTCACCGACATCGTGTTTGACCGAGTCGTGCGTGACCACGGCTTACCTCTGACCATCATATCTGACCGTGACCCGCGCTTTACCAGTTGATTTTGGCGACGACTCCACGAGGTTTACGGCACCCAACTCCGCTTCTCCTCATCTTACCATCCCCAGACTGATGGTCAGACAGAGGTCACGAACAGGACTCTCGGAGATATCCTTCGAAAGATTGTTCGTGACGACCAACAGTGGGATCTCCATCTTGCCCACACGGAGATGGCCTACAACCACGCCGTCTCGCCAGCCACGGGGATGTCGCCTTACTATTGCAACCTCGGCTATCACCCTCGTGTTCCCGCAGACTTCCTTCGACCGTCACAGATGCACCTGGCACGAGTTGTCCCGCGCTGGATGATTGGGTTGCACTTGACGTCGATCATGAAGACTGCACATGAGCACATAGCCGCTTCCCAGACTCGCATGGCAGCACGTGCGAACCGATCGAGGATAGATTATCCATTCAAAGTTGGTGATGATGTGCTTATCGACGCCCGCCACTTACAGCTCAAAGCGGACACGCTTCACAAGTTTCGACGTCACTTCTTTGGCCCATGCCGCATCCTCCAGGCCGTCGGTTCTGATACAGCTTCTAGCCCGGTTAACTTCCGAGTGAAGCTGCCCGACTACCTACGCTAGGCTCATGTGCACGATGTCTACCATGTCTCGTTACTACGTTCCTACCGCAGACCGTCTGAGTGTTTCGCTGGACGACCATATGAGCCCCCTCTACCCATCATGGTGGACGGCCACGAGGAGTTCCTCGTTTCAGAAATCATTGGTTGCTGAATTAACAACGACAACCCTCCCTATGTCGAATATCTCATACGTTGGACGGGTTACCATGATGAGGAGGCTACTTAAGAGCCCCTCGAGCACTTGCAGCACGCTTGCATGTTGGTGCGTGTCTATGACCGTGCTCGTCGTGTTGGGTTGACTGCTCCTCCCCAGCCCACTGACCCTCCCCCTCCTCCTTCGGCTGAGGAGACCGCAAAAATCGAGTCTGCTCCGATTGAGGCAGACCTTCAGCAACAGTCGAATGCTTCTGAGCGTCCACAACGCACTTATCATCGTCCTGCTCGATACAACGATTGACTCTGACTTATCTTCCCACGTCCTTGACTTCTCAGTACTCTATCCACTCCAGTTTTGCCATTTCAGCTCGTTGACGTTGCAACTCTTCCTCGACGACATTCCAAATTTCTTATCATGGACGTCATCGACAACTTCATGGACTTCGTCACGATCAACTCTGCCTACTTCAGACGTCGTCACTCTCTTACCACCTTACCCTGTACAGTACCCTGATTGTGTCGCATGATGGTCTCCCTTCGTCGGGTTCCTCTGAGTTAGGCTCTCCCTTCGTCGGGTTCCTCTGAGTTAGGCTCTCCCTTCGTCGGGTTCCTCTGAGTTAGGCTCTCCCTTCGTATACGCATAGGCATCGGGACCATAGCGTTGCCCTGGATTCCCAACTTACGGATCCAGCTCCGACTTTCCCCACCTTAGGAGTCATTTGCATGATTCCCTTACCCATCACTTTTTCTACCCTCTGCCGGCCCTCACGCCCTAGTTAGGCAGCCTCGCATGCTTCATCTAGGTGCGCCCAATATACCAGGTTCCCTAGTTCCATTGCATGGTCGACCCCCCATAGTGATGACCCCTTTAGTTGAGCATTACCCGCCCTGATGGTCTATCTGTTAGGTTCATTGGTTCTGTTCGCTCCCAGTTCCCTACCCTCATTGAGCCTGATGACATGTGTCCCCATGTCATTATGTGTGGATGCCCTTAGGAGTTATCGACCCCTAGGCTGCATTCGCCACCCTCAAAGACCATCCCACCCTTGGTTTGCGACACACTCCTCCTGTGACATATGGTTGTCTTGTTGTTGCTTTGTTGCTCTCAGATTGAGGCTACTGCCTATGGCATATCTAGGATTTAGTTGTTTTGCTTTTGCTGTTCTTAGGACTTATACACTAGTCAGTTGTTTCCAGACTGAGGCTACTGCCTCCAACATTCTAGGATCTAGTTGTCATTACTTTCTGCTTTCCTAGGACATGTATGCTAGTTAGTTGCTTCTGCTTTCACTCAGGCTGTCAGTTGTGACATTGCTGTTTTTTGTGACATTTTCTATCCTAGGTTGCATCGCATGGACTCAACATAGAGCTTGCTCCGCATCCTAGACTACTCAGGTTTTCTTTTTCTTTGGTAGAGTTCCGCTTCTTGGCGGAAGCGTGCTTGTATCTAGGCGATCCATCACAGGTCGAGGATCGTGTAGCGGATCTCTGGTTGGCCTGTGAGACCAGCCCCTTGGCCTGTTCTCACATGCCTGTGTTGTATTCGGGGCAGTCAAGTCCAGGCCGGTACCTCTGTCGATACCAGCCATACCAGTCCAGTCCCGTCAGTCCGCTGGGGTATACCCCAGCTGTTGTCTGTTTTCCGAATCATTCTACATTCGCACACTTTGGAGTACGTGCGTTGGAGTCTAGCGTGGGAGCTGCGCTGTGCCATCTCGCTCCCCCCTTCTTCCTCCATCTTCATCTCCATCCCAGGCGCAGCACCACACCTGGTGGGTCCGCCACAGCTAGGCTAAGCACTAGGGCAACAATGTCGAGTTCTTCGCTGTTCTTTTTTTTGTGCTCCTGAAAACTGTGACTGCAGTGGGGAGCAGCATGTGTTGGGAACCGCGCCCAGCGTCCGATTCGAAAACGTATTGAGAAACATATGCAGAACAATTTGAGATATTGGGGACCTTACCCGGCTTTGGCTAGGAATGGTAGCTATACACATAAAACTGAGAAGAGTGCAAGTATACTGAAGAAAACTTTGATTCTATGAGCTTCTTCTATAGAGATTGCAGAGCCTATTCCACAACCTACCAGTGCAGAAAAGCTATGAGAAAAACTTCAAACCTTTAATCCATAGGAGCTTTCAAACCTCAAACAACCTACCTTGGTGCCTTTCAGCAGCCCAACCCTAAACCTGCGCCGACCCCTATATCCCGATACCCAATCTCTACTAGGCCTCACACCCCCAACTGCTAGGTTACAGAGTGGCACGAACCATCCCAGAACAATCCCCCACCTGCTAGGCTACAGGGCGAAGCGACCCGCCCCGGCTCCGGCCAGCGCCGACTGAGTACCAGCTCAACAATAGACACTAGAGTGTCTTCCGCCCTCGACATCTCCCCAAATCTCTCTACCAGGTCTCAATCCCCCCGTACAGCTTGAGTTACAGGGCAGCGCGACCAAGCCCCAACACCGACCAACATCGTTTTGACCTCATCCATTTGCAAACCTCTGGGACCAAAGACGTCAGTAGATGTCAGACAAGCCACCAATCCTCACCATGACTGTAGTTATGATCCTCCAGCTCCTTCAGGCGCTTGTTGCATTCATCAAACAAAAATCCCTTCCAACCCTACTCTGGCAAGTCTTACCGCGATAAAGCCACCATCTTCGTCGCTGCTGTCCCCTATCTCCACCCAACAGGCTAGCCCCTTCACCGTAGGACACATTAGCTCCAACCATATCAGCCAAGACAACCCACTGCTGCCAGCGCCAAGCTTTTGAAGGATTTTTTGTAATTAGAAAATCAAAAAATTCAAGAGAATCAAACACACTTTTTTCTTTTGGGTGAAAAATGAGAACCGATTGAGATATTTTGGAGGCTGATATAACCAAAACCATGTTCCCCTTGTGCTATTCAATAGACCAGCCTACAGTTGTCTCAACCCTCCTGTCCGATACCAAGCTCTAGCAGGTCTCACACCCCCAACCGCTGGGTTACAGGGCGGAGCGACCCACCCCTACTCCGACCAGCATCGTCCTAGTAACTGCTCACTGTATGCCATTGGATTGCCTTCCACCCTCGACAATTCCCGAGATCTCTCCACCAGGCCTCTAACCCCCACATGACTCAAGTTACATAACTTACAGGGCAGCGCAACCAAACCCCAACTCCGGCCACCGTCGTTCTGGCATCGGCCAACCATAACCCCATGGATATGAGGGCGATAATCCCCCGTCGGTAGATCCGCTGAACACGATCTTGGCAACCAAAGTTTCAGAATAATCGACTCCCTTCACGCACTGGTCGTGCTCGACACACGAGGACCTTCTACACACTCCCCCTTATCCCCACTCCAGCAAGACTTATCACAACAAAGCTACCATCTCCATTGCTTCTGCGCCCTATTTCCGTCCTACCAACTAGCCCCCTCGCCAGCAGGACGCGTCATAACCCTCCTCTACTAACCCCACTTAGCCAATTGGCACCCACCCCTACCTATGCGACCCCAACATGGAGGGGTAAGCTGGGGGGAAAACCCACTACCCAAATCCAAGTATATCTCCCACGATCAGTGCAAAGACAAGGTACTTGAACTTGAGTACAACACTACAGAGGGAAATTCCAACACTTGTGAGTTTCGGACTTTCGACTCGATGAGAAAGATCAATATCCATGGATACAAAACCAGAGATTAAGGATCAGAATACAACCGTTGGAAAATTCAATATGACAGTGATGAAAAATCACCATTTCGGATTTGAAGAGGAGAATCCTGCTAGCCTTTTACGAATGAAGAACATCATGAGAATCACTAGTTGGATAGTTCAAACTACGAGCCATATCGAATTTTTGGATAAACAGCATTATGAGAAGATCGGAGAAATCCGAACAAGAAATATATGTGGTCGATCGTATGTGAAACAAATTTCCATCGTATGAAAGGACGAAGAAAATAAGAACTCAGAGTAAACATCCAGGAGAGTATCAACAGAATTCATGTATGCGAAGTAAAGAATTCGATCCACAAAAACCAGCCAAACAAAATAAGAACTCAAAATGGGGAATCACGACTCAAAAGTTGCCAGCCTAAAAATCACGAGGACTCAACAGTTCATCTCATATCAGAGTAAGGAATAAAATTTTAGAGCAGTACTTTAGGATTAAGACTTTGAAAAACTGCTGCACACCGAGCCCCCATCGCCACGTGAAGTCGCCTTAAATCGCGCGAAGTTACCGGTCCCTGCAGATCATCACAAGGCGTTCCACTCCCACCGTCCCTTGATCCAAGTGCCCAACTGCTCTCCCGACCAAACTCAGTCCCTGCCTCTTCCTGCGAGAGAAGCACCTTCTCATCCCCATAGCCAGCCCGTTGGCGAAGTACACTGGCTAGAAGGGATTAATGGGACACCGCCGCCTCCCTATAACTCCTTGAAGGCGATTGTGTTGTGAGTAACAACATTGAGCCCGTCGACGCGGCCTCACAAAGAATTCAATCCATGCACAACGATCTTAAACCAACCAGGTCAGACAAGGCAAGAAACTGAGAAATAGAGGCAGAGGCTAGGGAAGAGAAAACCCCAAGATCCAAACACTCTTAGCCATCTCCTTGATACACATGCTCTCTCTTCCTTCCAGGGTGCTCCCATCAACCCACCCATGCCACATGGCGCCCTACCCTCCAGTACTCATCACACCCTACCCAACGTCCTCCGCTGTCACACCAATCTGCCTCGCGCCTTCCCCCATGTGGCATCCACCACCACCCACCAACCGCACACCCTTCCTGCCTCGACTCAACGGGAGTCCCAAGATGCGCAACCGCCGCCCTCCGCTATGCCTCCCTCCGCTATGCCGCCGTGATGGCTTCCCCCCGCGCATCCGCTCTCTGTCGCTTTAACCCA